GTGCTTGATTACACACTGTGTCATCCTGGAGAGTGACAGCCGGCCATTTCCCTCATATTCCAATATGTGTTCAACCATGAAATCAGCCAACTATTCTTGGAAGTCAGTATAGTATTAATCAGCCAAGGAAGAATCCAATCTTTGCCTCCAACTTCATAAGGTACCTCCCTATGAGATCAGGAACCATTCTTGTCACCATTTCCAGTTTCAAATTTGGGGCCAAGGAAAGCATAAAAGATTTGCTGATTTAATTCCACATGGCTGAGCACTTCTTAGTAATGTAGCTGTTAGAAAGTTTCTGGTCTTCTAAATAGTGAAGAAAGGATGGGACATTATGCTCTTAAAAAATATTAAAACTTTGGAATTTCAATCTTAATTTGGTGGAAGCCCAACTGGTGCAGCTATACATGTACATGCATTATGCTGAAATATTCTATAGCCACTACATTTCTGCTTTCACAGTTCAGGAACCCTACCCAGATACAATACAATTTTATTTTCTTCTGATAAAAAGAAACTCTGCCAAACCCAATTGCATAGAATAACTGAAAATCTAGTTAAGGAAGAACTACAGTTGAGTTTCTGACTATTGCTATACTTAGTTTTTAATAATTTTGAATAGACTGGGTGTTTTGTATGATTGGCTTCAGTTAGCTTCTTCAAGATGATGACAAATAATTTCTTACTGGCAGAAAAGCATTCTAAAAAAGCCTCTAACTAAAATACAAACACAAACCCAAACATCATATATCTTAAGACAGTTTTCTTTGTAAATTCTATACAGCAAGTCATGAAATGGGCCATATTATAATAAATTATTAATATGACCAGAAGGCATCATCTTACTAAAAGCTGTGCTGGATAATGTTAATGTTGCAGAATCATAATACAGGCCTGTGCATAGCTATAATATCCTGCTGAGCCATTTTCCCCCTGTTCTGAAGCTGCTGCTAAAATATACATAACCTTAATAAAAATGCAAACAGAACCCTTCCTCTGCTTTGTGCATCCCACACTAGTTAGCAGGAAGTTGAGCTGTTCAACATGAGTTCTGCTTGAGTGATATTTGTATTTCTCAGCTTTTGGGTTCCAGCTCAGATGCTAATCCTTTAATATGGTTTAGTTAGGGAGGCCAAGAGCAATAGATACATTTAGTGTTTATGAACAGACACAACTGAAGTGTAAGTCATAAAATGAATAGAATCTAATACAAGAAGTGATTAAGCAAAAATGAATACCACAAAACAGTTAAGATGTCAGGTAGGAAGAGAGACAGACAACCCCAGAGCTACCCTAGCTCCAACTATAGCTTAGCACAAGAGCATACAGCTGCTGTCATCAGATGCTCCTCAACTTCCATAACCCTTGCCACTGGGTAAGCTGGCTGGGACTGAAGGGAGTTGTAAAAATTTTTTTTGAATTCTTTTGAGTTATATAATACAAAATTATGCATTATGTTGCCAGCTCCTGATTCACCACAATGATTTTGTGGAGAAGACAAATAGTTAGCACAGACAGAATTGGCTAGAAATAGCAAATGTACATTTTATGAAGGAATAACTTAAGACAACACCCTCTTTCCTACACAGTTAAAATTATGGTACTGACAACTATTACTGTAATATTGGCAACTGTAATTGGATCCCGAAAACTTCAGTTAGACATCTCCTTGTATTCTCTGCTTATTCTTCAATCTAGTCTTACTAATGTTTGAGAACAAGTAACTCCTTTCCTTAATTTATGCCATTGCCTAAAAGACATTAACTGAGCACTCATGTTCCACTGAGCTTTTTCTTTTTACCAATGTAGCTCTCGCTCTTCATAATATTTGTTATGCTCATTTTCTGTAGATATCTTCCTTGGCATTTTGCCTCATTTTTATTCACTTAACAATGAACCCAATCATAACAGTTAATTTCAAACACTAGATCAAACTATGGTTTGTACCAGTTATCATTTAAAGTCCAAAACATGTTTTCATTGATTATTTAGAACATTTTAATGCTACTTTTCTTAAACAGACTCACATTTATGTCAATAATCATCTAAACCACAAAATATTCAGATCCAAATATCTGTAACTATTATTTTGCAATTTAAATATGCCATGGCACATTTAACACAAAGCTTAAGTTGTTCAATACATATGGCCATTTGTTGTTCTGATGTTATGCCAAGCTATGGCTTTTTGGAATGTCTGAATATCCAGGGAATTAGTAGTACTGGGCAGCAACATTACATTTCTTATTTTTCTGACTTTGACTTCTGAAGTGCTACTGTTTGAAAATTGTTACTTAACTGGGAAAAGACAATTAGAAGAAACAGTATTTAAGCACCCTCTCTGCAATGAAAGTGTTAATGTGGATGTTTTTTTTAAAATTTAAAGTTAAAAACATAGTACACTACTATCTTACAGCAAACACATTTAAAATGTTATCTCAGTAATTCAGAGTTAATTATTTAACTGCCATTTGCAGTTTGTTTATGCTATTTCTTCATGCTGGGCGTTTAAAACTATAAAACTAGGCTGATTTTAAAGAGCAGTTTAATTTTGAAAGGCTGGATAACTTTAAAGAATCTGACAAAGAGGTTTCAGCAAGTTATGTTGTTTTACTCTTCCAGACAAATCAGCTAAATTCTCAAAAGTTACATTTAAATGCATGCTTGCTATAGGTAAAAGAATAATTCATGTTTAGAATCCAAATGGTATATGCAAAACTGCCAACATTAAAGCATTTCGTTGGTTAAAATCTATTTAGAAACATAATATGGTTAAGTTCACTTGAACAGGACAGTAAAAGCCAAAAATACGAACTCTGTAGTCTTCCAAATGCTATTCACTGGTCCAAAGAGAAACAGCAGATGACAGCAAGTGCTGTTAATATCCAAATACCTGAGTATTAGCAGGGAATTAAGGCAAATGCAAGAGGACTCCAATAATCTTTTAGCTGACAAGATACTGACATGAGAAGGCAGACAAGCATGGTCAATGCTCATGAGAAAAACCAAACTGCCTCATTCTAAGGAATTTTATTACCTCATTCAGAGGATATCCAGGTCTATGTACAACACTGCTAACAAACCAAGGAAGTAGATAGGGTCAAATTAGCTTGGATCTCACTTCCATTTAAAGGCACTTCTGACTGATAATTTAAACTAAAACTTATGGCTTCATAGGTCTTATGCCTCTTGGTCAGGCAGGATTCCAGTTGCCTCTTCTGACAAACTGCCACAGTGATTCTAAGGTAGAGGCTCCGTCAAGTCAAGCTTGACTTCTGGTGACTTCACGGACATGTTCATATATTGACAACATGACAATCCTGACAATAATATTGAAGTTATCTACTTGGGTAAAGTTGAGAAGAGATGTGCTGATTCTACGGTAGCTAAAACGTTCCTGTATTTCTCTATAATAATATTTTAATTTTATAGGACATTAAATACAGAGGAAACAAAAAACAAATCCTTAGGTCCTAGACCGCTTTTTTGCAATATCTGAAGTTATTACTCTCTGCTATTAATGGTATGAATGTATCTTATCAAGAAACTATTGTAAAAGGTGCGTAATGAATTTATATTACTTGGCAAACATCCTAATTTATATGTTTCCTTGCCCTGGACCACTCCAAAGACTGACCTCGGTCAACTCCTATAGCAGCCATACTCAAGACGATACAGATTTTATTTTTAACAGCAATCCACTGTGGTACAATGAACAAAAATATGAGATCTTTATTCTTTTCAACATTATTAGAACTATCAACACTGACAACATCTATCAAGGTCAAACGCATGCGTGGAAAGGACCTTCAGCCTTGTCTCACTTTCATGATATAATCAGTTACTATTCTAAAGATACCTATCATTAGTTTTTGCACAAATCCAGTCTGCTCCGTCCTAGCAATGTCAATTATGCTACTAAAGATCTGGATAATGTTACTATAACAAATTTTGAAGCACTCCTTGTTTATATTGCCAAATTTAGGCAAACAAGACAATCCGTCTTCTTGTATCTATCTGCCAGAAAAGTGGAATACTGTATATCCAAAACCTGCAAGTGAGAAGTCACATAAAGTTGTTCAATAAATTTCTAGACAATTCTAAAACTGAACCACTAACTCTACAATTCTGTTACTGTACTAAACTTTGCTTTAATATTCAGATTTGGCATGACAGCACATAATTTAAACAGTCCAAATTGTTTCTTCTCAAGTACTGCAGCTCTTCCCTTATTTGTCATTTCTTCTTTTCTATTCAATTTGATTTAAACTTGATATGATTTTACAGGCTACTAAGGTCACAGGAGAAAGAAAAGCTGTACACAACACACACACCCCTCTTTTCATGTTACTGTTTGAAATTAAGATTTCAGGAAAAAATGCTCTGTAATTTTCAGAACTGTCTTTTTGAAAATACTGGTCACACTAGGAAGAAAGTGAAGGAAAAACCCCATGTAATATTGGGATCAAAATAACAAATCAATTTTCTACTATGACGTTCAAATGCGGTATTGCTCCTATGGGCCCATATTTTAGACTTTTACCTTAAACATACTTCCTGAATCTTCTCTGGACATGCTGAACTTTCCTGTATTCATTCTGTACTCTGACAACCATCATTCACTCGGGTGCTAACTCATGCTTCTTACAGCTCTCGGGGGGG